GACATGTCTAGCTGGGTGGCAAGAGCTGGACTTTGGCTCAGGTTTCTGGCTCCTGGGCCAGTGTCTTTTCACTCTAGTGTCACAGTACAGGGTTTGAGGACAATAATGTGGCCATTCCTTTCCTAGAATGGCTCTTGTCAAAGTGCCTGAATATGGAAGAGCCACTAGATCCTGGTATTATGGCATTCTGGTCTCAGGGACTCTCCTCAGTTAATATTTTTGGCCTTGCCGGGTTTCTGTCCCCTGGGATGAAGAGCTCCCCGCCCCCACAGTCAGGAGGAGCCAGACACCTCGTGTTATGCCCAGAGCACACTGTTCCTCCCCAGGCTTTGCTCTCACGTGGAGTAAAACTTTGCTTCTGGACAATGTGAAATGGAATTGGCCAGCACTTTGCTTGCCAGCTGTGTATCCAGCTCGCAGTGCAGCTGTGAGTCAAGTGACAGGCTGCAGTTCTAAGCGAACACGGTGTGCTCAGCACTGGGCCAGGCTCTGGGGAGCAAGGCAAGTGCTAATGTGGAAGGGATGGGGCCTGTCTCACAGGTACTTGCTGTCCGGGTGGGAACACACAGTGGGACACAGAACAGGGTAAATGGTGGTTTTACCATCTGCAGGCAGGATAGGCTGCGGGCTGTTTCTAGAATATCTGGCTCTAACAATGCTTGATATGAGTTTATCTTCATGATTAAACTCTTAAACAAAGGTGGCAAAACAGATTTATATAACCAGTTAGGAAGAGAAAAATGGCTTCCCTCCACCCTCCTAGGTTCTTTGGGCTACGAATTATATTGACACAAGACAGATCAACAGGAGAAAAACCCTATTTTATCAAATACATATGCATAGAAGTCTCCCAAAATATGCAGCTCAAGGAAGGGCCAGGTGATTGAAGCTTTTACAACATCCTGAGCTACAGAAAGGAATCAGAGCTTAGGGCAGCAAGTTATGGGAGGCGGGGGAGGAACCATGTGGTGAATAAAGGTTGTCTTGTGCAGATAACAGTCTCTCGGGTAGTAAAAAGCTGTCCAGGGCCGGCCCGGTGGCGCACTGCTACAGTGCGCCGCTTGGGAAGCGTGGCGGCGCTCCCGCCGAGGGTTCAGATCCCACATACAGACCGGCCGCTCACTGGCTGAGTCGTGGTGCAAACGACACCGAGGGTTGCGATCCCATTGCCGGTCCCGGTCCGGTACAGGCGCGACACTGAGGGTTGCGATCCGTTGCCGGTCACGAAAAAAAGACAAAAAGAAAAAAAAGCTGTCCAGAGCAGCTCCCTTCCTGATACAGATACTTTTTTTTTTTTTTTTTTGACCGGTAAGGGGATCGCAACCCTTGGCTCGGTGTCGTTTGCACCACGCTCAGCCAGTGAGCGCAACGGCCATCCCTATATAGGACCCGAACCCACGGCCTTGGCGCCATCAGCACCACAGTCTCCCGAGTGAGCCAAGGGGCCGGCCCTCTGATACAGATACTTTCACTAATGTAGGTTTTCTTTATAAATGCCAATTTCTTTTACAAAAAGGCAGCTTTTCAGAGCAACTTCTGTGTCTGCAGTTTCTCAGAATAACCAGATCAAAGTACGCCAAAGTATATTTGGGGTGGATATTCTGGCTTCCTACAGTCATATTGTGGGGTGGTGTGTCCTGAGCCCCAACAATATATGTAGTATGTAATTAAGTGCTAACACAGTCCCAGACCTTCAGAGGAGGGCTTCTTGAAGGAGGACTGGAACCACGGGATTAAAATGGTGGTTTTTGAAAGTCTCTGGACCCTTTATTCAACTGACATTACAGATTCCTTCAGTTAAGACAGAGAAGCGAGGAGCTGGGAGCTGGGCTGCTGAAAGGAGTTGGGGAGCCCTGGGCTGCCTTCTCTGTCCCCTGCCCCCACTGCCAGCAGCCTCCCCACCCAGGAAGCACAGCGTTGACGAGGCTGTGGCGGCAGCTGTGACCCCTGTGTGTGGGCCCAGGTGCCGCCCACCAGCCATGACAGCAGGCCAGGCTGTGTCAGCTTTCTCCTGAGTTCTGAAGAACTGGGCCTGCGTGTGGGTGGATGGGTGGAGAGGAAGCCCTGGGCTCCGACAGGATTGGTTGTCTTAGAGTTGCTCCTTCTGAGGGGGTGAAGTGGTCTGCTGATCCCTGCAGTGAGCGGGGAGACGGTTCAGAGGTGCATTAGAGGCAAGCCAGTGGGCGTGCAGTCCTGGTGGCAGGGGCTGGGGGGTGGACAGCCCCCATGGGGCACACAGAGGAAGTCAGAGTGAGCCTGTCCTGAGGCTTGGGGAGCTGCCTGCTAATACCCATGTGGTCAGCATAAGTTCGTGGGGAGGATGAGCTGGAGTGGGAAGTTGGATTGATGGTGTGGACAGCCAGGGCAGGGCTCTTTGGTGGAAGAAGAGCCCTCTGGCAGTGCCCAACTGCCATGGCAAGGAAGTCTCCCCAGGAGCTAATCTGGAGCCTCCAGGATCGGGGAGTGAGGGATCAGACCAGAGAGTGACTGTTGGAGCACTTGCTCCAGCCCAGAAAGGATGTGGTTGGGTTGAGAAATTTCACACTGGGTCACTCATGCTAATGGAATGTCAGCACCGTGAAGCCCCAGCCTGCCTTGGTAGAAGCGACTGCTATGCCAGCTCAGCTTCGGCCACTCCTGCTCCAGCCACATGGTGTGGGCAGATCTATCGTGGGCCCATCCTGGCTCTCAGGGATGCAGGGAGCCGCGTGGGAAGGGGGCTCTGGCAGAGAGAAGCATGCTGAAGAAGAGGCCTGTGTGTGGAGAGCCCACCCTGCCCAGGGGAATGTTGCAGGACTGGTCTGCCTGGGGAACTGTCCCCAGAGAACCAGCCCAGCCCTGCCGAGGGGACTCCCCTGCTCTGGCCGCCTAAGGGGAGGGGCTTTGTGGCCTCACTAACATCCATGCTCCAACCAGCTGCTCCCCTCCCCCACACTCCCAAGCTTCTCTCATCCACTCCCAACCAAATCCCACCTCACCCTCCTTCTCAGCAAACCCCAGCTCCAGCCAGACCCTTCTCTGTTTTTTCCTTGCGCTGAGTCTGATCCAAAAATATAGCACTTGATTCTCTGGGCAATTTGTCATTTATAGCACTCTAATTGTTACCTTGAAGGCAGAAATTGTGTCTTTTACTTTATATTTCCAAAAGCAGAGGCTTGTAGAGTGTTGGGCCGTTTGGGATTCTGGGAAAGGAGAGTAGAGTTGTGGGACCCGTTCTCTCCAACAGCTGCACACAGGCGTGCTGAGACCCCGTTCCTGCTCAGGAGTGTACCCTGTGCTGGCCGTACTCCCAGGCCTGTGTGGATCATGCCGTGGGGACCCGGGTTTCTGCCCTCAGGACCTTACAAGCCAGCCCAGTGGTCATTAGCTGATGTTCCAAGAAGGATGCCAGACATCCGAAGAGTTGGGAGACCTGAGGTTTAAAGTCAGGCTTGGGGGTGGGATGAAAATGGATAGGAGAGACTATGTCAGGGGGGGAGCCTGTGTGCAGGGACACAAAAGACATTTTTGAGGAAAAGTAAGGAAAATAATCCTTGCCCAGAACCCAAACCCCCTCATCTAAAAAGAGGACTGGGCAAATTCTATTCATTCTCTGCCAAAAAGTCACAAACTAAGAGGAACAAGGTGTGAAAAGAAAGGACAGTCATGGGACTAAGGACATCAAAGTTCATAGTGAGGCTGGAGGCCCAGGTCTCAGTGCAGAGGAAAGGGAGGCCAGGCCCCCAGCTGACGGAGGCCAGAGGGGCAGCTCCTGGATGCAGGCCTTGCCTCCCTGGTGCCCCCCTCTGCAGCATGAGAGGGCTGGGGAAAGGGCCTTCGGGTGCAGAACCCAGCTTCCATGAAGGCCTGTGTGCCAACCTCAGATGGGCAGGCAGGACTACCAGGCAGTGGTCAGGTTCAGGGCCTGACAGTTCATGTTGATTTGCTCAACAGCCATGTTGTGAATTAAAGGGCCTCACTGCTACTCCTCGCTGCAGACCCAGAGTGCAACCTTGTTCAGGTGTGCTCAGCCAAACTCTCCACAGGCTGCCCAGGCAGCTGGTGTGCATCAGGACTGCTGGCAGCACTGGTGGTAAAAACATGACAGTTCTTCCATACTGGCTGATGAATAGCCACTGCCTTGACCCCTCCTCCAGGACCCCCAGACCTCCCCAGCAACTGAAGGGCTACTGCCTGGTGTATCAGGGCCTCCAAGACCCCACCCCAGTTCTTGGTGAATGAGTGTTCCGATTGGTCTATGTTAAATATTTTGGCCATCCTGCTGTGTCTGGGGGCAGAAGGAGGAGCCAACGACCCTTCCAGGTGGAACTGCCCTTTCTCTCTTCCCAACCACTTAAGAGCCACATCTCCACACCGGTCTCACTGCAGAGGACTTCAGCTTTTCGGGTTGAAAGAAATTCTGAAGTTGCTGTCTCATTGCACAGTAGCTCTTCCTAAATGGTGATTGAGTAGATTTCATGCTGCTTTGATCCTCTTGATATATAAAGGGAGCTATTTTAGGAAATTCAAGGAAGAATCCTTTGATAAAGTGTAACACCACCTTCCTCTTATACCCAGGGTCAGGAAACAAGGTTTTCAGTTCCATTTAGAAGAGGTTAATTTGGCACCTATTGTGTGTTGCCAAAGTAGAAATCAGAACTGTGCCCTTCAGATGACCTTGTCACCAATTCCTTGCTTACCCTCACTCACTGATTCAAAGGTACTTTCTGGGTGTGTCTCGTATACAAGGCCCTATCCTGGGCCCTGGAACATATAAGTATAAAAGCCGTGTGTTCAGTAGGACACCGGATGCTGCCTAGCTGAGGATGTGGCAGGAAGAGCAAGGCAAGCAAGACTAGTAATCACACTTGACCGTGCTTTAGAGGAGGGGCAGGTTGGTATATGATCAGTGGAATGATCCGGATGGGCACTGACAAATGCGGAATAGTGCTCCATGTGTTGGCAGTGAAGATGGGGAGAAACTGAGGCACAGAGAAAGAAAGTGAGCAGTTCAGGGGCACGACAGAGGCTGCCATGCTCTCAGGTACTCTGCCTTCTGTGGGCTGGGAGGTACACAGATGGGGGCTGCCCTGGTGGTGCAGAATCCCCTGGGGTCTCACCCTTGGAGTAAAAGTGGAGCCCCCGCTGGGGCACGCTAAGTGCTGCTCTTCCTCCCGCAGCCTGATGTTTACCAAGGTGAAGCTGGAGCAGGTATTTAAAGGCCCGGAGGAAGCCCTCGTGACCTGCAGACAAATGCTGAGGCTGTGGCAGACCTTGTACAACTTCTCCCAGCTGGGGTGAGTGGCTGTCATTGTCCCTGGCATTACCAGAGGGTGGAGGGCAGAGTTGTCAGGCAGTGGTTGCCAGGGCAACAGTCCACCACTGAGTGGCCTCGATGCCTGACAAGATGGGTGGTGATGATGTTTGAATAGGAATGTGGAACTTTATGCTCACGGGGCTTCTTACATCTGTGGTTTAGTTTTAGCCTCTTGACAATCCTCTATGAAAAGCGTAAAGACCCTATGAAGGAAAGTGAAGTTCAGGGTGCTGAGAAAGAAAAGAGAAAATTAAGCACCCGAGCCAAGTGCTGGGCTTGTTGCTTTTTCTTACACATCAGCTGCTTATATTTTATATGTCACCAGATTTTATTCTTAGCCCTGTAAGGAGACTGAGACTCAGAGGCCTCATAATTTGCCAGTCTCTTGCCTGGTAAATGGTAGTGCCGGGACTTGAATCTGGATCTCCTGAGTCCCAGCCCATGGAGCCTGTCACTTCTATCCTGGTTCCATTTGGAGGCTAGAAGAGGAGGAGGAGGCGGCGGCAGGATCCTGAAGAGCCACTCCACTCCTCCCCAGTCACCCACGATTTCCATGCATCCTGCCTCCTCCTACAGTCCCCCTCCTGGGCTCTGGGTTTTTCCTGGGCCACAGCAGAGCACTCTTGCCCAGGCTGAATCTGCAGGTCTTTGCTCAAACCCAGTGGGATGCCTGTGTGGCCCAAAGGGAAAGGGGAGCCTCCTGCAGGAGCGCACTGCCTCTTCCTGGTCCTCCCCTCGCCTTATATGGGATTGCTACTGTGTCACCTCCATAAGGCCTTAGGGGACCCCACTCTGGTGGGTATTTGCATTTTCACAAGGACTCTGGGAGCCTGGAAGGCTTTCAGTCTCCCCAGAGGAACATCTCCAATGGTGAAATTTACAGAGGAGGCCCCAGGGTGATCGGATGGAGTAAAAGACCCTGGGCAGGGTCAGCCCTCACTTTGCAGGCCTTTGAGCCTGGGAAATTCCAGGGCAGAGCAGGACCAGTGGGTGGAAGCTGCCAGCAGGAAGCTGTGGGGTGAAGGGGGTCTGTGTTCAGTGCCCTTGCTCTCCCGCTCCTTGGCTATGGCAGCTCAAGCAGATGCACACCCTGGTTTCCCTTCTGTAGGGAGCTGCCCCTGGAGCTGGCTACACTTTGTCTGTATCATCTGGATGGCTGGTTGCCTGCTCCTCCAGTGGCCGCTCATGATGGGGTCTGAACTGCAGTCTTACCTCCTAACATTTAAGGGGCCGGGGCAGTGGGGTTTGCCTTGAGGTCTATTCAAGTCACCATCCACACACTCCATCTCTGCTTTGAGAGCCCGATGGCGCTCATCACCACAGGAAGCCCCTAAGCACCTCTCCTGGGAACCTCTGGCAACTCCCCACCCAGGGTAGAGCGGAGCTGGCCCACTACCTGGACCAGAAGCCTGCATCCAGTACCCTCCCAGCTTTCCCAGGAGACCTCCTAACATTTAAGGGGCCGGGGCAGTGGGGTTTGCCTTGAGGTCTATTCAAGTCACCATCCACACACTCCATCTCTGCTGTGAGAGCCCGATGGCGCTCATCACCACAGGAAGCCCCTAAGCACCTCTCCTGGGAACCTCTGGCAACTCCCCACCCAGGGTAGAGCAGAGCTGGCCCACTACCTGGACCAGAAGCCTGCATCCAGTACCCTCCCAGCTTTCCCAGGAGATAGGGAGGACTCTTTTCTGAACCTGGGGCCACAGGTCAGAAACCGGGGCTTGTAAAATCTAGTTTGGGTCAGCCAAGGATCAAGACCAGAATCAACAGCCTGGAGGCCTGGTCTACCCCACCCCACCTACCCACCAGGCCCCACCTCCTGCTGCACTCCCTGCACACCCCCTTCCTCTGCTCTGGCTGGGCCAGTCTCATGCTGCTGGGTTCTCATCAATGTTCTCATTGCCCCTGAGGCCCGGTGCAGATGCCTCCCCTCCATGTAGCCACCAACCACCCAGCCTCTAAACTGTTTCAGCTTAACCCTGTCCTTGTGGGGTTTTGCTAAGTGCTCAGCTTGGAGTGTCTCTTTTCTCCATTTGGGCTGGAAGGTTCTTCAAGGTAGGGACTGTGGAGCCCTGGGAGGGAAGGCAGGAGGGGAGCTGTATCTGCAGGCCTGCCCCATGACAGCACTGCTAGGCACTGCCCATGTCGTCCCATTTACACCCACAGCCACTTTGTGAGGTGCCATTGTTGTGCTTTTTTTCAAGAAGAGAAAACTACAATGTAGAAAGGTCAAGGGGGTTTGCTGAAGGTCACTAAACTAAGAAAAGCTGCCCCTGATTCTAACCTAGTGTCACTAGCTCTTCTGCCCCCACACTGGGTCAGTCGGATGCCTCCTGGGAGTGGGGAGCAGGCGGGAGGGAAGGGAACCACCAGGCGGTGCTGCACTTTGGTGGTGGTTTCCTCCAATGCTCACTATGAGGGCTGCACCGCAGGCCTGAGTTGGGGTGGCAGGGACGCCCTGGACCCTGGGTTCTTTGTGGGACCACCATCCTGGTGCCCCGCTGAAGGGAGGAAGCCTCTGACTCTGGTTGGGTCGCCTTCTCTTCTCCTGCCTTTCTGCCTTTGCCCCCTGTTACTTCCCCAACTAGCAGGGGCGGTGCTGCACTTTGGTGGTGGTTTCCTCCAACACTCACTATGAGGGCTGCACCGCAGGCCTGAGTTGGGGTGGCAGGGACGCCCTGGACCCTGGGTTCTTTGTGGGACCACCGTCCTGGTGCCCCGCTGAAAGGAGGAAGCCTCTGACTCTGGCTGGGTCGCCTTCTCTTCTCCTGCCTTTCTGCCTTTGCCCCCTGTTACTTCCCCAACTAGCAGGTTCAAGGGCTGGGGGCTTCCTTGGCAGTGGAAGGGGCTGGGTGGGAATGTGCCCCAGCGTGGCCATAACAGGCTGTGCTGCCTTTCTGAGCTGGCGGCTCCTGCCTGCCTCCCCTACCTCCCACTCTGAGAAAAGACCACCCCTGCCCCCAGCAGTATTGGAGCTGCAGTGAACTAGGGGATTGGGGGCTGGGGGTAGGGGGCAGATAGGGTCTCCGTAATTGTTTATCTGCCACCCCACCCCCACTGGCTCCTCTGGAGCCATGTGGAAGCCCAAGATAGGGGAGCCTGAGGCAGGGAGTGACATCTGGACCTTCCTTCCATAGGGCTGGGGCACTTCTGGTACCCCACAAAGACCAGGCTTTCCTTGGAAGCCAGTCCACAGACCTCACTCAGTGCCTGGCACTCTGCTAGACATTGAGAGCAAAAACAGGAAAGAGTTAGCCCTGGCCTGGGGGAGCCTTCTGGCCTCACCCACCCCAGAGAAGGATATAGACAAGATGCGGGGCTCCTGCCCTCAGCCTGTGCAGCGCGGGACCCATGCTGATCTGTCCTGCCACTCTAGTTGTCCCACGTTAGAACTCGCAGCCCCAGAACCTGCCTAGAGTGACGCTCCGCGGCTCCCCCTGCCAGTCCTCTGCCTCACCGGGCCCTGGCCCTCCATTGCCTTCCAGAGGCCTGGAGAAGGACGGCAGCTTCGGCGAAGGCCTCACGATGAAGAAGCAGAGTGGCATGCACCTGACTCTGCCCGATGCCCACGACGCAGACTCCAGTAAGAACGCACCCTGGGGCAGTTGCCCCCATGGCCCACAGGTCCCTTCCCCAGCCTGAGAGTACACATAGGGGAAGTAGCCTCTGCCCGGCCTGGCCAAACCCACATGCTCCTTGCCGACTACTGCCCAAGGGTCTTGTGCTAAAGAGCTACCCTCAGGCTCTTTCAGAGCTGATCTGGGCTCTGGGTAAGGCTGCTGGGCCTGGCCAAACCCACATGCTCCTTGCCGACTACTGCCCAAGGGTCCTGTGCTAAAGAGCTACCCTCAGGCTCTTTCAGAGCTGATCTGGGCTCTGGGTAAGGCTGCTGATGGTCCTGGGGTGGGTGGTGGGCAGCTGGAGTATACAGGAGGGGCCCTACCTCCAGGGTGGGGGGGCAGAGAGAGGAGACTGGGTTGGAAAGATGGCTGTGGAGCACAGAGACTGTTTCCCTTACACCACAGCTAGAGACTAAAGTCCACCTAAAGCCCTTCGTAGATGGAGTCAAATAGAAAAGTGGGTTAAGCTATTTACAATTCTAAGCTCAAAGCTGACTCAGTCCTGGAAAAATTCATCCTGAAGCCTATGGCTTGTGAAATTCAAATGAGTTCAGGAACTACAAATGTGCATTTTTTAACTGAAAACCTGATTAAAGCAGAGCACCTTCCTCAAAAACACAAGAAAAAGAATTAGTCGTGGGAGTGAAAGTGAGTGGAGTCGTACTTAGTGGAATTGCTCCTTTTTTCTGCTTCTGTGGATATGAGCCCAGTTGAACCTTCATGGTCAAGTGACCAAGTTGATTTCAGAAGCCAAACCTAGCACCTGACTTTAGAGGCACCTCTTGGGGGTGCCTGGCTGTATGTGGAGCTGCTGTCTCCAAGGAGGGAAGGGTTAAGGAAAGGGTGGCTCCCTTGCAATTAAAGAGGGAAGAATCATGGACAAAGTTATTAGGGCTCCGTGTATGCTTGTCTCATAAGCTGAAATCCTCTGTGGTTTGCCCTGAGGTCTCCTGAGTTTATTGGAGCCTTTACTGCCTCTGAGAGAGAGAAAGTGCTCACGTTTCACCTGCATGGGTATTATAAATGTCAACAGTTTATAATCCTAACAGGGCCCACATCACCCAGAACTGCCACAGGAGAGCTGCTCCAGAGGACACAGGTCTGACTTGAGCTGCTTCCCAGGGACCTTTACCCAGCACAGCTTCAGATGGGACCTTTATACATATGTAATGATATATGCACCTGTGGAAACAGAAAGTAAAACTAGCAAAAGGGTCTCCAGCCATACCACCCGGAGTGCGTCTGGTTGTGTCTGATCAGTTGCTAAGTAGAGTCGGACCTGGTTAGTACTTGGATGGGAGACTGCCTGGGAACACCAGGCACTGTAGGCTTTGAAAAATAAAAAATAGCAAAAGGAAGAAAAGAAAATTCATCTATACTTTTACTACTCAGACCATTATAAATGGCCTTTCAGACTTTTTTCCATGCCTATATTTCTTTTTTATAAAGATATGATCATGTTCTTTTGTAACTTGCTTCGTTTCACCTGACTGTATAATGGGGAAACCTTTCCACATCAATGTCCGTATTTATACATTGTTATTTTAATGACTGCAGAGTCTTGGACGATTGTACCCTCACTTATTTTTAATCAGTCCCCATTGTTGGACAGTCAGGTAATTTCTGTTGTTTTCAGTATCACAGGCAGTAGTAGAATGAGCATCTTTGCTGACATGTACAGGCATTGTCCTTAGGGACAGGCTCCTAGCACGATCTCTGCCTGATCGCCCCTCGAAAGCTCCTCCTCCCAGCCATGGGTGACAGTACGAGGTGGGCCCTCTCTGGTGGGCTGTGCGCTGCTTTGTGCTGCCAAGCTGTGCTGCTCTGCCCTGACTCGGGTGCCCTGTCTCTCTACAGAGCTGGGCATTTACTGCTCCTGGGGCCTGCGACAGTGGCTCTTTGGCTCTCCTGCTCAGCCACGTCCCCTCTTCTTCTGCAGGCTCTCGGCGGGCATCATCCATCGCAGCCTCCCGGCTGGAGGAGGCCATGTCGGAGCTAACTATGCCCACCTCAGTCCTGAAGCAGGGCCCCATGCAGCTGTGGACCACACTGGAACAAATCTGGCTCCAGGCTGGTGAGTGCTTCTGGTCCCAGCTGGGGAACCTGGTCCCAGGGGTACCCACGTGCCCACCTTCAGGCCACGCAGGCCCTCGGAGCCCTCTCCTGTCCTGGAGAAGGGAGTGTGGGGAGGACGGACTCCTGACAAAGCTCACATGTGGTGCTGCAGAGTGCTCGTGGGAAGAGCTGGGATCGGGAACCAGAGCTCTAGTTCCAGCTGTTTCTTCTTTGCTTGCCTCAGGCAAGTCCCTTCATCTGGCTGTGAGTTACTTTCTCTGCCCCATGGGGATAGTGCCCGCCTCTCTACCTGGGAGAGGTTCTCTGGCAGCAGATACAAATATGAGAGGATTTGAGGTCACGAGAGTCCGTACAGACAGATAATCTCAAAAACAAGCTTCAAGCCCTGGAGAGCTCGCAGAGTCACAAGAGAAGAGGTGAGGTGTGGAGGTCCCCAAGAAAGAGAGTTCTAGTGGCAGAATTTGTTGAAGGTAGAGATGACACTCTTTTTTTTTTTCCTCTTTTTTTGTTGACACTCTCTCTTGATAACTAATGGGTCCCGTCGTCATTGTAGAGTTTGAAAGTTAGTTAGCAGGCCTCAGAGGCCCGACTTCAGAGCCACACGGACTGGAATTCTAAGGCCCAGCTCACAGCCGGCCAGCCCTGATCTAGAAGGAGCTAATGTGTAATGCGGTAAGCGTGGCACACAGTAGGTGCTCAACAAATAGTGCCTGTCATGGTCGTGGTGGAAGCAGCGTGGCACCACACACAGTAGGTGTCATAGTACTTGGCTTAGGAATGCCAGGGAGCGACTCACCAGAAAGAGTGTTTGAAAATGTAGCCTGCCTGTGATGGGAGAGGTGGATTAGAGTGAAAAGAGAGAGAATCAAGGCCAAAGATTACAGGTGCCTGAATGGAATGAAATGGCAGAATAGAGAGGAAGATGCTAGCCTAAGTGGAATCCTGAAAATGCTCAGGCCAAAATGCCCCCTTGGTCCAGGACTGCCCCAGGCAAGCTTTGGCCTCAGAGCACCTCATCACCTCTTTTCTGATTACCCTCCTTTGTTCTCTCTCCCCATGATAGGGGTGGTGCCTGGTCCCCAAGGGGAGATGGAGAAGAAACCAAAAATAGATGATCAGTTACTGGGACACGCAGATTTGGCAAGTCAGTTAGAGTGTGCTTGTTAGCTGAGAATCTACAGTTCCCACTTCATGTTTTTCACATATGGACACATTAGTATGCAGCACGCCCCCACGCTCCCCACCGGAGGCTCTGAAACGGGGGGAAGAAAATTCACAGAAAGGCTAGACATGGGAGCATTTTAACAATGCAAATATTGCCCCAGTTAGCTCCTCAGCATCCCCTAGGATGCTGGGGGGCCGGGGAGGGGGGGTTGGTGATAAGCTGTGCTCCACTGTCAGCTTGTTGGGTCTTAAATAGGAAGAGAAATGTTGACAAGTCCAGAGGAGTAATAAACAAGGCTTCCTCTCAGGCCACACTTCCCCGTCTTCTAGGACGTGGAGCTACATGCTGGGCTTCAGTGGCACAGTGACCACGTTCAGGACTTGTGGGTTGCCTGCTCTGAAGCTCCCAAGGCCTTTTGTTGTTGTGATTCACCTTGTTTACTCCCATCAGCAAATGAAACCACTCTTGCACGTCACCAGCCTGCTTGCATTCCTCAGTTACACTGCTTATGACAAGGATGTTCTGGTGACTCCAAGTAGGGTTCAAGGCCTTCCTGGAGTTGGACTTGGGAAGGTCCTTTCATAATTTGCACATCAGCCTTTCTTCTCACACTAGTCTAGATATTCACCCTGCAGAGGACAACTCTGAGGACAGCACCTGAGTGCTATGCACACGCCCGGTGCTGGGCATGGGTTGGGCAGTGTGCTGTCAGAAGATAGGTCTGGGTGTGTGTAGCAGATCCAGACTAGCTGTGGCTTATACAAGGTAGATGCTTAGTTGTTCCTTCTCATGTAATAATTCAGAGATGACCACCTTGACTGGGACAACAGCTCTACCAGCTCTAGGGTGTCATCCATGTGGTCCCAGATGGCTGCCTTCCACACTCACATTCCAAGGCGTAAGATGAATGATGAAGAGAGGAAGGACACACCCCTCCCTATAAGGACATATCCTGGAACTTGCACACGTCACTTCCCCTAAGGATCCATTGGCCAGAACTTAATTATTTGACTTCCGCTAACTGCAAAGGACTCTGGAAAATATCATTATTCTGCGTATCCAGGGGAGGGTGGCCGGTTAACTCAGTTGGTTAGAGCACAGTGTTACCACACCAAGGTCAATAGTTCAGATCCCCATAGCGGCCAGCTGCCAAAAGAAAAAAGTAGAAAAGGAGAGAAAAGAAAATCAGGGGATCTCTCATTATAGAAGGAGGAGAGAATAGACTGGTGCACAGCCACCATGGCCAAGTAAGGATCCGAGAAGGTGTCCGAGATCTCATTCTGAGCATGAGTGGATTCTGCAGCAGTTTGCACCCATGAGCTCTCTTCCTACTCCTGGTCATCACCAACTCCAGCAGCATCTCCTGAGCACCTGATGGACACAGGGCTGCCAGGGCCAGATCACCTCCCAAACCACCCCCACCCGACCCAGGCTAAGAACACTGTCATCAGCATCCCTACCCTGTGACCCCCCAACCCTCTCCACCCAGCCTAATGACTCCACCAGCTGCAGACAATTTACAGGAAGGGAAAAAGATCCCTTTATCACTTTGGAATGAGCTAATCCCCGTGGTTTGGTTCAAGATACGTAGCATCCCAATCTGTTTTGGCAGTAAGTCCCATCATGAATCCACTCTGGGAAATGTCGTATCCTTACTCTTCCAACTCTTGCCCTCCTCCCCTCCGCTCTTCAGGCCTCCTTCCCGTTCCAGTCCTATGTGGGAAGCTTCACGGAGGCTTTCCATCCCAATCTGTTTTGGCAGTAAGTCCCATCATGAATCCACTCTGGGAAATGTCGTATCCTTCCTCTTCCAACTCTTGCCCTCCTCCCCTCCGCTCTTCAGGCCTCCTTCCCATTCCAGTCCTATGTGGGAAGCTTCACGGAGGCTTTCCACTGGGGAGGCCAGTGCTGCCTCCTGGACAGTGGGTCTGGGTGAGGATGGAAGAAGCTCCAAGCCCCACAGGTGCTCCAGGGTCGTGAGTGTGGAGAGGTGCTTTCCAGAAGAGCAAGAGGTGGCTCTTCTCTCTCTACAGCTCATGCCTCTGGGAGCTGACAGTGTGCATGAGAGAGAGATGGACGTAGGCAGCGTCCCCTGCCCTGGAGGTCCAGGGCTCACAGGCGGCTCTGGGCCTTCTCTGGGTGTGGGGGAAGCTGGCCTGAGTCTTAGCTCCCACGCCATCCGGGCAGTGGTGCCCTGGCTCTTGAGGCACCCTGGCCTGCAGGTGGAAGCCCCCAGCTGTTGGCAGGGCAGATGGGGGAGCTGGGGTGGGGCAGCCAGAGCTGTGGCTAAAGGGCGAAGCCAGTTCTCACACTTGGTCCTGCGTGTCCTCTGCGCTTCTGTGTCCCTCTTTCCCTCTTCTTCCTCCGCTCTCTCCTCCCTGCCCAGGTCCCCACCCCTCTCTTTCCCTTCCACTCTCAGTGCTTCTCCCTGTCCTCCTCCTCCCAGATGAGTCAGCGAGGGGGCCACTCTCAGGACAGGAGGTGAGTCCCAGCCCAGGCCACCCCTCACTCCCTTGTGCCATCCAGGTCCCAGGGGTGGAGGGGCTTACACCACCCAGAGAAGTCCCTTCAGACCTTTGGATTCTCTGTATTATTCTCCGTTCTAGCCCCTTGGTCTTCTCTTCCGTAGCTCCCTCGTCCCCTCCCCCACCTTCCTTCTCCTTTATTCTGAGGGTCTGCTGCATGGGGAGGGATGCTTATTTCCTTACCTCCTTTGGGGTCACCAAAACCGCCCCCACCGAGGCTCAAGGCTATGCAACATAGATTCCTTTTAGGGCCTCACCTATTTCTGTTTCCTGTCGGAGGGGGGTGTCTCCATGCTCTGAGCCTGGGTGGCTCCCTCCCCTTTCTGAGGTCTCAGTAGGGGTGTCTGTAGGGAGCACACCTCACTGGGGAGGCCCTAGAAGGTCTCAGGGGCGGCCTTGGGCTCTCTTCAGCACAGGACCAGCCTGTGGACAAGGCTGCGGAAAAGCTCTTGGAGAGTGAGCCCATCCCCCAGCCTGGGAGAGCCTGGCATTGGCAGGAATGTCAGGAAGATTGGAACCAGCTCTGGGAGCAGGGTTAGACCAGGATGCCTCAGAAAAAATAATAAAAGGGACTCTTGCAAAGCTCCAGGGAACAGATGTTTTCCATTTGTAGCACAGAGGGGAGGGGGGTGGAGAGAGATGGAGGGAAGAGGAAGAAAAGCAGAGACGGACAGGCAAGACAGGAGGCTGAGAGGTGGGCAGGGAGCCGAGGGGAAACCAGGAGGGAGGAAGAGAGAGAGTAAAGGACCTGAGGGATCAAATGGGCCCTCTCACACTGAGGGTGCAGCACAGCCCTGCTTGCTGGGGGGAGGACCTCGACCATGAGAATCCTCGGAGAATCTGGGGACAGTGAGTGCTCATCCAGCACTGGCCAGGGGAGGCCAGGATGGGTGTGGGCATTGCCGGGTCCTGGCAGCCAGAGGATGGAGGCTGTGGTGGGCACCATGTCCTGGGGCTCCTGCTGCGGCTGGCTGTCTGGGAAGCACCATGTTTGGTAAAGCAGCGAGCAGGAGCAGGGGCATCTGCCCGGGGACACTGAGGCTTGGAAGAGGGTGCACTGCAGCCCCCAGACCTGTGGGCCCATCAGCAGGTTGGAGGCCCCGTCAGCAGGTTGGAGGCCCCACCCTGGAGGCTGGAGCTACAGGCTATCTGCAAGGCAGCCAGAACCCTCAGGAAACATCACTTCTGTGACTCTGTTCTGTGTCCTCTGGTTTCCTGCCTAACCAGTGAGGAAGCCCATCAGAGCAGAAAAACCTACCTATTGTTCAGGGTGTGTTCTCTGGTGTGTGGCCAGCGCAACAAGGCCCAGGGTCTAGGAAGCCCCTGGGTCCCAAGGCAAGGGAGATTAGGACTGGGTCAGCCTCCCTCTAACTGAAATCTGTTGATGTGAATGCAGGATGAGGATTTCCCAAGAGAGGGACAAGGGACAGCCTCTGGAGACAGGGCGAGAAGTTGTAAACAGCTTAATGAGCCGTGTGAGGACCAGGTCGGCTAGGCCTGGCATGGGGTGAGGTTAGGGGCAAGGAGAGCCTGAGCCCGGGCTCTCAGCTGAGCTGCACTCCTGGCGATGGAGGAAGCAGCCATAGGGCACTGGTGCAGGACCAGCCTCCCCCCAACCCCACCTCTCCTTCTGCCCCTACCCTCTCTTGTAACCCTGGGGGATTCTGCTGCGTCTGCCAGTGCCCTGGGTCTCTCAAGTGGTTTGGTGGCTCAGCTGCCCCCACCCCCACTCTTTCTCTTCCTGGGAGGACCAGGCACACAGTCAGTACTCAGTAGTTGCACAGTGGACACTCTGTTATGAAGGTGGCCTGCTCAGAGCCCCCAGCAGCAGCCGCACTGCAGAGCAGAGGAGAGCTGAGGCTGAGGTGACAAATCCCTGACCACTGGGCCGGCCCCTCCCTGCAAGGCCGGGGTTCAGCCCCCTTCCTGGCCTCACCTGGGCTGTCTGCTTTGGGAATCTCCACTTCAGCCTGTCTCTGTCACCATATCATGGGAGCTTGGCTTCTCTGTGTTTAATTCTCCTTCTCTAAAGTTCTCCACTACACTAGAGAGAAAGACTAACCTTGCTCCAAAAGCCCTCTGTAGCATGTTAGATGAGGCAAGCTGCTTGGATTGCCCGATGAGCTTTAGGCAACATTCATGCTAAGCACCCGAGTGCTGTGTGTTACAGTCAAGGCTTTAGTGAGACCTGCTTCCTGCTGCTTCCTGGAGGAAGAGGGGATGCCTGGGCCCCTCTGTAGCATGTTAGATGAGGCAAGCTGCTTGGATTGCCCGATGAGCTTTAGGCAACATTTATGCTAAGCACCCGAGTGCTGTGTGTTACAGTCAAGGCTTTAGTGAGACCTGCTTCCTGCTGCTTCCTGGAGGAAGAGGGGATGCCTGGGCCCAGTTTTTCCTTCTCTTTCTGCGAGCTTCCATTCAGATGTCTGTTATCTACTCCACCCCAGACATGATCTGAGCTAGTGTAGCCTCAGCTCCCAGGCTTTGCTAGGAAAAGCTCTTGGCAAAACGACGCCTCAGACTCTGCTGGCTCCTCTGTGCTCCCCATCTGTGTTGCGATCCTCTGTGACTTCATCCTGGGCACCAGCCCCGGGAGGGGGCAGCTTTGAAAGGAAGTGTGAGTGGGCTGCGAGGCCGACAAGCAGCGTGTCTAAAAGCACCTGCCATGGGGGTGCGCCTGTGCGGGTGGGGTTGGACTGTGCGGTGACGTGGGCTGGCCCTGGGCTGTTCAAGCTGCCGCATTTCCCACCCATCTGGTGGTGCCAGGGCAGATCCTTTCCCGCCTGCTGGCCAGAAGGGGTGCGTGTCCACTTTGGAGGGAGCCAAGGAGCTGCTGGGGGGTGGGGGGCGCTGTGGCTTTGCCCTTTCTCACAGAGGGAACAGGGTGAGGTCCTCATTGCCTCAGCCTGGTTTATTAAAGTGGAGTTCATGATAGTACCTGCCTCCCTCCAAGACTAGTCGTGAGGTTTAATGAAAGAAAATATTTCTACTCTGCTATAAAAAAGAATGAAATTCTCCCATTTGCAACAACATGGATGAGCTTAGAGAAACATGTTGAGTGGAATAAGCAAAGCACAGAGGGATAAATACCGCATGTCCTCACTCATAAGTGGGAGCTAAGAGAGAAAGAAGGAAGGAAAGAAAGACCCAGTGGTGCATTGGACTTGCAGAGGGAGAGAACATACCTAGGGATACAAAGTGGAGTAGGGGAAAGGTGGGGGGGAGGGAGGTTGGGGATAATTGGGTGGGGGACATAGGGTACAATCGCAATTTGTAGTAATGGGCATGCTGCCAGCATGGATCTGGCCACCACATCTTAGGCATGAGTGGTGACAATTTGCTTTGTACTCCATGAATATTCATAACCAATAAAAAAAAAAGAAAAAATATTTCCTGAAGTTGAGGCTTGGCCCACAGTCAGCTCTCCATAAATGTGGGTTTGGGGTGTAAGCCTTGCTCTGCCCCTTACCAGGCACCCCGGAGCCTCTTTCCCCCCTCATCCTCCCACCCCACCCTTGACAGGATCACGTGGTTCTTTAAGCTCTGAGCACACTCCTGCCTAGTCCTGAGTTAGCTCTTCAGCCTGCCCCCGCCGTGGAGACCGAGAGGCCCCCAGGGGAGCCACCTCGTCTGCTTTCATCCCATTTTCCCGGACAGGCACTGAACAAATGAAGGGACACTAAAAAGAAAGTCAGGGCCACTTGAGCAAGCTCTCAGCCCCGGGGTCACCATTCAGGTCCCCACTGCCAGGCTCTGAACTCAAACAGCCCAGCGTAAACCTGGCTTCATCACTTACTCTCCCTGTGGCCTTGGTCAAGCGCCTTAACCTCTCTGTGCCCCAGTGTGCTCATCTCTCACGTGGGGTGATTCACACGTTAGAGTTCAGCAGGGCTTTTGTGAGCATCGACTGAGACAATCTGTGTGGAGCACTTAGCACAGAGCCTGACACAGAAACGATTCCCAGTGCTGTGACTCGGTGGGGCAGTGTCCATCACCTGAGACCCCTTCCCCAACTCTGGGGATGTGGGGAGCGGTCGCTGCCTCTGACTGCCACCACTCACGCCTCCACTGCCCTCTGGCTTTGCAGCTGAGCTGTTCATGGAGCAGTGGCACCTCAAGGAAGCAGCCTTCTGCATCCAGGAGGCAGCGGGCCTCTTCCCTACCTCTCACTCGGTGCTCTACATGCGGGGCCGGCTGGCCGAGGGAAAGGGCAGCTTGGAGGAAGCCAAGCAGCTGTACAAGGAGGCGCTGACCGTGAACCCGGACGGCGTGACCATCATGCACCGCCTGGTGAGTCCGACCCTGGCCTTGGGGCCCTCGTGCCCCCTTGTCCCTTGTCCCTCCTGGCCTCCCCTGCCTGCCAATACCCTGCTGCTGTCCCCCAGTGCTGTGGGAGGTGGCTTCCTCCTGCCCTGTTGGGAAAGACAGCTCTCTCTTTCTCATAGGTGCAGGCTGTTCTCCTTCAGTCAGGGTCTGTGTTGATGAAAAGAAAAGTATTAGTTGATATTCTGTGTGACTTCCCTTTTGCTGGAAGTTTCTGTGAAGTGATTTGGCACCAAAAGACTTTCGCTGTTACTCAGCAGATCCTTGCCCTGGATGCTAATCCACACTTTAGGCAGTTAAAGAAATGCTCCTCTTTCTAGGGGTCCCCAGGCCCTCCCTGATCATTGGGCTGCCTCCATTTCGGAGGAGCTCCATGTCTCCTTGGTGGGATACAGGGGGTGTTCTGGGGTGGCTTCCATGTCAGGCCTGACTCCATACATCAAGAATGGTCCCTGGGGTGCTTTCTCCTTAGGACATGGGCTCAGAACTTGAGTTCCCAGGGCACAGGGCCCCCCAACACATACACACACCATGGGAAGGGTCGGAGGCTGGGAAGCAGGATGCCAGTACTCTCCTCCTGGCCTTGGCACACTCTGCCTGGGTGATTGTGGGCAAGTCACCCACCTTCTCTGAACCTTGGTTTCACTTATCCACCCAGTGGGGATTCTCTAGTCCAGCCAACATTTACTGAGTACCTGCTCTGACAGGTGATGTAGTAAACCCAATAGATAACCATTTTTTCCCTGCCTGCCCTTAGCTGCTTCCAGAGAGCAGGTATCAGGATAAATGCAACGATCTGAAAGTGTACACATCTGCATATACATAAGTGATTTTTGAAGGATAATTTAGGAACTCACAGTGAGAAACAGTCTTCCTCTGTTGGGGTTTGGGTTCCCCCTTAGATGTTCCTCTTTGAGAGCATTTTGAGGAGGACAGCCACTAGGGTTTCCCTAACATCTGCCACATGGAGAACACAGGGATCAGGAGAATGACTCCAAATGGCTGAAGGGTTATCATTGCCAAGAGGGATCTGATTTGTCCGTGAGTAGAAGCTACAGGGAGTTAGAGCTCAGCTTAGTGTCAGGGAAAACATTATAACTCAGAATAGCCCAGGCACATACTCAGTAATCATCCGCGAGGATGTTGCCCGGGGAGTGGAAACATCACTGGGGAGGAGCTGGGCCAGGCCATCTTCATAAGGTCCTTTCATACCCGAGAGTCCTTGAACAAACGGGACAGAAGAGAAATTCCCAGCTCAGCTGTTATGCCTGCTGACTGATTTCTTTAAGGATTTCTAAATTAGGTCTGTGTGAATGCTCAGCCTCAATGGAAGAAGGCCCATGCAGCGACATCACACACTGGCCCATGCTCCCTTCCAATGGCTCCAGGCCACTTTCCAGTCTGCTCAGCAAATGTTTGGTTTTTTGCAAGGCACATCCTCCTTTCACTCGCTATTCAGACATTAGCTTCTCTGATAAATGCCTCACTGGAGGTCACATCCAGAAACTTGATTAGGGAGGCCGGAGGGAGGATGTAGGCTGTGTCATTAGGCCTGCAGCCAGGCAGAGATGTCTGCCTTCCACTGTGCTCATGGATGAGAGCCTGCAGTCTCAGTCCCTAAATCCCGACAAAATCCAATAACAAGTACAATTTTGAAGTAACACTGTACCATTTTTCATTTATGCTTATTATTGTTTGTAGCTATTTTCCTGAAATTGAAGCAGTTTCCAAGGGTAGGTTTCCATAGTAACTGAGTAGCTGCCCAGAGTGGCTCCCTGCAGATGTTTCTGAGATGGTCCCTTTTCTCCTCCCGGGTGCCTTGCTGATTTGATGAAATTGGAACTAGTCAGAGCCAGGCCCACCCACTTTTAAAGTTATGAGCAACCAGAGGGGCAGTGGGCTCCTGCGTGGGCAGGCCGTCCCCTTCCCACGTGCTGTGTTCCTGCCAGCATCCCACACATAGGCATAAAGAACAGCAAGTTTCATGCCTGGGGAGGATTTTCTAAGCACTCTTTTACTAAAGACCTGGGAACACTTTGGCATGTTGATCTCAAGGGTTCCTCGATCTAAGTGTCTTCCCTGTCCTGGCCTGGAATCTACCCCTACCTCTGGCCTTGATTCATTTGGGTGACTTAGGAAAAGATACACTTAACTTCTATGCTCCTGATGTCCCCTTTTGTAAATGGATAATAATCTTTATTGTTCCTGGACCATAGTGTTCTAATCAAATGAGGAGATGCACGTGAAAGTCTAAAAGCCAGCAGGGCAATACCAAGAAAGGCAGAACACAGCACACACATGCCACCACTCTCCATCCCTCACAGTGACACACATGGCTAATCAGTCACAGCACTTCTTCCCACTGAGTACGGATACGGCACGATGGGAACCACTACCAGTCAGCCTGAGTCAGCTTGACGTGTATGTAAGAGATGCAGGAAATCATCAGTAGAGAATGAGAGACGCACGTCAGTTGTCTCAGCCTTAGTGAGCTCCACAGGGTTGGTACTCCAGAGAAAGGAAGATGGATGGGGTATTGGTATTACCCCTGTGGAGTCATTGCAAGCTCCCAGAGAGGACACCCTGGCCTTACTATGCCACTGCAGCTTTATGAGGACATTGGCCTCTGACAGGTATAAGGGGAAGGAGAGCCATCCCTCCCCTAGGAGCACATCCCCTCACAAGCCTGGGCAGGCAGAGCTCTGGCTCTCTGGTGAGCCCTCTGGGGTCATGGGTGAGTCCCCCTCCCTAAAGTCCCCCTCCGTGGTGGAGGTATTTTTGGTGGCTGTGTAGGTGCCAGGTTTGGCTGTATCATCCTTAGGGTGGGATTGGCAAAGAGGCTGAAGAAAGCCCACTGGGAGTCCAGAGCTTTGCTTTCAGGGGCCAGGTTTCAGGTGTTTCTGAGAATATAAACTTTGGCCCAGGAGCAGGTTCTCTGCTCTCCTGTCCTGCTGCCTTCCATGCCCCGGATGTGACGGGAGATTTTTCTGTGCTTCTGTCTCCACACTGGGCTTAGCTTAGGCGTTCCCACCCAGACCAGGCAGGAAGGAGATGCCTCCTTGCTAGTTCCCTGCTGGGGAAGAGTCTTCCTACTGTGCCCACAGCAGTATCCAGAGGAGAGCTCTGGTCCTGCAGGCTGTCGCCCACACTGGGCTCAAGGATGGCCAGCGACCTCTGGGAGACTGGCAAGTGTGGAAAGAAAAAGGTGCATTCCCTACAGATGGAAGTCAAATCACAGGCGTGGGTCCTGATAGTCTATTCCAGCTTAGTCCAGCTTCCCTCTAGGTAGCCAGAACCCCCACTCAGTGGGGGTATTCAGAACTTCACTTAGGAAGAATTTCATTAAGAAGGGGAAGCCTGAATCTCACCTGCCTGCCCCTGAGGAAGCATGAGAAGGGAGAAGGGCAGAAGGGTCCTGCCCAAGATTAGCAGAGGAATCGGCCTGCCGTCTGCAGAGAGGGCTCTGAGGGCTTGGCCGGCAGGGACCCAGGCAACCTGCTCTTATCTCTCTGGGCCTGTCCGCCCTGCCACCTCCCAGCGTACCCTCTGCACCAGCCACCTCCGAGGGAAGAAAGGATGCCTAGGGAAGCCAAGGAACCCACACAGTGACTGATGAACTGGTCAGATCACTGACAGCCCTCCCAGCCACGGGTTCCTTTGAGGCCAGTCTGACCTTCATGTTGGGAGGGTCACTGGTAGTTCATGAGGCTGAGGTTAGAGTGCCTCATGGGACGGTTGGCTTGACTCGGTTTCCCAGTTTAGGGGAGGGAAAACTCTACCCTTTTGAATTCTTGGATAGCACCACTGTAAAAAAAAATTAACAAGAGAAAAACACCCCCATGATCTTAGGAAGGGGGGCGGAGAGTAGGAACCAAAGACAAAAACAAACAGAAGTTTATTAAAATGTACCCGAGTACTTCAAAAAGTTCATGCAAAGATTTGTATTATCTTTTAATTCTATTTTCCATGAACTTTTTGAAGTCCCCTTGTGTACCTCATGTACACACGGGAGATACCCAGAAAAATGAGTAAATCTCAAAGGGGTGGCCTAGACCTCTAGTGCGAGACAAAGGAAAAGGACCTTGAGTCTCTAAGGGCGACAAATTGTGGGAAGGCACATGGGAAACTAATGGTAGACAAAGGCTAGTTAGTAAAGTTATGTAGATTTCTCTGGTGCCATCTCCAGGCTGATAAGGGTCTAAAGTTGTCTTCTGTGATCAACCTTTGTCCTTCCTGCTAGAGAGGGGAGGAGGGACACCCTTGTAAATTTATGTTCTGCTTTTAGGTAAATAGGGGAAGACAGAGAGTTTTTCTTGCATCTACTTCTTTTCAGTTGCCTTCAACTTAAAATAACCCAAAATAATTTTGGGGTGGCGTCTTCTGCTACCCTTCAGCTGCCCCTGAGGAAGGCCCTAGCCCAGGCCGTGGACTGAACCCCACCCCCTGGCCTCAGCATGGCTAAGGGCAGTGTGGTGCTTTGGTGCAGCCTGTCTGCACTGCATGAGACAGCTGGGAACCCTCCGCCGTGGGTGGGCAGGCAAGGCATTTGTGGGTGCACTCTGCCCCTCCTCTGCCAGGGACAGACTCTGGAGGGAGGAGTTTTCTGGCTGTCCCCTGCTCTTCGCCGATTCCTCCCCTTGTCCTGCCTTCTTCCCCATGAGGAGCTCCGGGCTGTCCCAGCACCTGTTCTCCTCAGGTGTCCCAGCATCTGCGGGGAGACTACTTTGCAGAGCTTTGGTTCTTGTGACGTCATTCCTGGGGTTGCAATTGCTGAAGCAGTCCTGGCCGTGTGACCCAGCCTCTTCTCTCTCCAGATGTCCACTCCCCTCACTGGTCCCCTCCCCAGTCCTGGAGTGCAGTACCAGACACAAGGGGTGACAAACCTAAGGCAGACAAGCAGCCCTGCTACCCTCGAGTTATTGGGGGGATGCTTGGAGGTGACTTCCCTCACTGGGTCAGTTTTTTCT